GCTCTTCCAGTCCGCGCTTCCCCCAGCTTGGTTCTGCTACTGAGGACTGGCAGCGGTTTAATTTAAGATGCAGAGGTGTCACAGGATTTTTTTCTGAAGCAACATATTTCTATCGCAGGTATCTTGTTTGCTAGTGGAAAGTATTGGTTTAAAACAAAAAAAAAAAAAGACATGAACAACAAAAACATTACTAGCTATATAGAAAAAAACACCTTTCTGGCATACAGAAAATCCTGACCATGAAGGCATTGATTTATATGGATGCACTGTATGCAATGCCTGTTTGTCTGGTGCATTGTTTCCAGGTGTGGCCACTGCTTCGGAGAATTCATCGGGATTCCCAAAGGGGTGATTAGGAGAATAACTGGCTGGTACAGAGGTTTCCGCCTGCTTTCTCTTTCAGGGAATGGCTGACTCTTCGAGGCTTTACCTCTCTTCAACCTGTCAAAGGCTTTACTGTCTTCTGCTAACCTGATGCTAGTTGTTTTGATTCATATGCATATCCAGTTTATTAATTTTCCATTCTAGAAAGGGACTTGGCCATACCTACACTTTGCAACAGTTAAGTTTCATGAATTGGTTGTTGTTGTTTTTTGATAAAGATAGCGTTTCCTTTCCTCAATTTAAGCGTGCTGCTCTTTTAATTGCAGTGATGGGATGATGGCTGTTTCTGTGTTTATCTCTACCCCGTTATTTTTGCATATTCATGTTTTGCTTGTTAGTTGAGGCCGCTCTAGACTAAGAGATGATCTCTTCATAATGATGGCTCTTATTTAAGTTGATGTCGTTAATTTAAACCCTAAAAATACAGGAGCATGTTTTGAAGCATTCTTTCTGTTGTTCATTACCATACATACATTTGTGAAACGTATATTTCGTCTGCTGTCGTGTTCTCTCTTTACTGGTTGGAGTGTTAGTCTCAAAAGCTCTTCCAGCTGCCTCAGATACGGACTCAGCTAAGTAACGCACCTTCCGTCAGCTCCCACGCCTCGCTGGTCACCTCGTGGTCAGTGTCCATTTGGCTTTAATAGGACTTCCAGGTTTTAATCCTTTTTATTAAGGTTATTGTTTGCTTGCCTAAATATTTTGTGATTATTAACTGTATGGTTAAAACCTCCGCACCTGTGCTGAGGGCCAGCTGCATACATCCTGTTTTGGGGAAGGAGGAGAAACTGGAGTATTTTGATCTTGTTAATTGGTACCTTTCCCAACAATTTTTTGCTTAGTTCGTTGTAAAAGACACAAGGAACCCTTTGCTTTGACTCCCTCTGAAACATAAATAACTTTTACAAGGGAGGTGTTTCCATTTTCACAGTTTCTCTCTTCGGATTAGTATTTTATTCCGGGCACCATTTTGCTGATGGCTGAGTGATGATGCGTTTTTACTGTCGCATGGACAGATGGAGAAGGGAAAGGAGAAGAAATGGCTGAGTCTTTAATTAGCCGTGCAGAGCCAGGGCATGCTTTTCCAGTGCATTGGGGGTTTTATATAGGGTGTGGAGACTCAGCCACTCGATAGATCCAAATTAGCAAAACTGTGTATCCACCACCAGGGTGTTTCTATGGCAACTGTCTCTCAAATCATATATACAAACAGACCTGGCGGAGAGTATTGCCTTCTATTCGATCTGTAGGAAACCATCGGAAAAGGAGTGGTTTCAGGCTGCAAGAAGACCTCGCGATATAAATATTTTTTACTTTCTGGAGACTGGTATAAGTTTTGGGCTCGCTGCTCGGTGCTGGCACAGCTCCAGATCTGTTTGTGTGTTTGTATGTTGACTGGCTGCTAACTCCTGCGAGGTGTGAGAGTGATCACTAGGAAATTTGCACAGGGTTGCGAATGCAGTTACCGTGCACATCCTTTAGCTCATAAACATCTTGCCGCTGTGCATAATTAACAGCCTATCTACAGCCATGCGGGAAGACCATATAGTACATGGCTTTTGTGCTGAGTGAACCAAATTACACGTTCGTTTCTTTTCCCCCCATTCTTCTTCATAAAACAGCAGAAATCTGGAGGCACTTCTCTCACTGGCATACCTGGTGAATTAAAGGGAATTACCAACCTGATCAAATTAGCAGTGTAAGAAGAGCCAAAGTGGCTGTGACTCTCAGCCTAAGTGACTCTATCTTCATAAATTCTCTCTACGTGTCACTTTTTCTGGTGGAAAAAATGAATGAATGATCCATTTAGCCTACTGCCCTCTTTTTGAAATGTAGGGCAATTATTGTTATTTTTTGCTCATCCAAAGTCAGGCACTACTAAAGTGTGGGTCATTTCAAATCAGAGGTGGTTATTTTTGTGGCCGTCAGCTCCATGAGGACTCCTTTCTGTTTTGAGTCAGATAAAGGGGAGTTAGCAAGAGGCCTGTGCTAAATAACTTTGCACTCATGAGTGTCTTGGATGTTCAGTGAGTGGTAAGGTGCATAACAGTATTTGTCTAGAATAATTCCTAAGCTTGCCTGGTAGCTCCAAGGGATAGTGCCTTTCTTTGCATTGGGCTTGGCTTATGTAATGGGTCCACAAGAAATTGTACACAGAAACGCTATGGAAAGGCTGATAAGACCTACTGCACCTGAGTGCACAGCCTTTCCTGTTGTAGAAGCCTTTGCATCTCTTCAGTGAAAATGAAGTATTGTGCATAAATTGCAGGACTGACAGAAACGTACTCTAACCTGTAGAATGTGAAAAACCTGTTAATTTTTTGTTTGTTTTCTCTATTTATAATCGGGCATTTGCTGAAAGCTTGGTGTAATTTATTCTTTTCTTTTTAATGAATTGTTAAAATGTTTGAAAAGGCATTAAATCTTTCTTTCTGCTATTAATCTGTAAAGGGGAAGAGGATTTTAAATGGCCTCTTAGTATATTGCTTTATAAAACTGCTGATTCTAGCAGCACCAGAATAGGAATACATACTAATGTAGGAAACACTGAAGGCAGTCAGCGGCTCCTGCATTTATAGAGGAAAAGACTAATAGCTCCATTTTAACAAGGCTCTTAACGCTTTGGGCCATCAGCAGGCATTGAGTGAGTGAAATTGGGAGAGCTCCTGTGTGCTAAAAGCATTGAAGTTCACCATTTTGTACCCCAGTTGGAGCCTTCCTGATAGAATTGTGCTCTCCAGCCAACTCCGGTTGCCATCTTGAAAACAAACCAAGTAACGAGCTGGCATTTCGACTGAGTGCACTAATGCTTCGCTTCTGAAATGGCACCAGAGCATGATAAATGCACTTAACTCCCAGCTGGATGTTTTGCTTTGCAGCGGCGTTAGGGAAAGTTTGTGGATTTGTGTTAAGAATGAAAGCAAAGCCTGTTTATATCATGTTTTATACGTGAGCAAAACGCACAAGTGGAGAAAAAAACAGCAAACTTGGTACTGAGATGCTGGCTTTGGTTCGAGTAGTTATGCCACTGGAATCAGAAGGGGTGTGCTTACTTTGTTAGATTGTGTCCTCATGTTACCGAATTCTAGGAGGAAGGCCAGCCAGGAAAGGAGAGAGAGTATCCTGACTAGCACGCAGACAAGGGAAAGGCTCTGAAGATCGTACCTGTTCTACACAGTTCTTTGATACGGAAGCTTTTCTTGTTAGCAGTGATAAGATTCCGTATGGTATTTGGAGCTTCTTTGAGCCCATGCGTTTCTTTTGTTGATTTTGGCATGTTGCAGCATCATGTGCTCTCTGCTTATCGTTTTGAGATGCATTGTTAGTAGCTGGGCTGCATAATTGATCTTCATCTCTAATTACTCTCCTCTCCACAGGTGCCTGGAAAAGGTCCAGATGGGAGCTCATACAATCTCCACTTTGAGGGCATGGAAAGGCAGTATGCATCCTTACCCAGGTACGGCACCGAGCTTCATACACGCACACACACTGATTGACGCTCCCTCCAGTGTGCAGGGAAATCAGCTCACAGCTGATGTCCGGATCCAGCACGAGAGATAATTTTTCAGTTTTGTCTTGTCATCTTTTGCTGCTGATTTAGTGCTGTCTTTATAACTGTACTATTAATTTGGACTTTTGAATCTTAAAAAAATAAGCTCTCTCATTGAACATGTCAGCAAGAGTCATGATCCACAGGTAGAGAACGTGACATTGAGGAAGCTAGCTCTGCAAGAGTTGTAACAGGTCGTAGCAGGGCAGAAATGACCGAGTTCATAGTGATATAATCGTAGCTGGCATTGACAGAGTACTGCTGTGGAAACCCTCCACTACAGCTGTCACAGCTACTGAAGTCCCACTGTTGCTGCAAAGACCGTCTGACTAGTAGTCCTATTCCAGTAGAGCATCCCTGTGCTTTAACTGAACGCTGTGGAAATGAGAGTGAATTCTCTGAGGGCTTTTTTTAATTTTTAATCCTTATCAACTCAATGAAGAGTAATTCTAGTCTGAAACCAGTGGGGCATAACAAAAAGGACGCGTTTCAGAGATTCCAGTCCTGTTTCTATGGGATTTCTAATAGCAGAGTGGAAGATTTAGCAAGCCAGAAAGGAGAGCAAGAGGATGCTAGAAGAAATAGTGGGAAGCAGCAGGAGGAAAGTAAAACCAGAAAATATTTCCCCTTTAGAATTAGAGGGCTGGGAAAGACCTTAGAGGCATTACCCAGTCCACTTCTTGGACTTACAAGCAAGATAATTTGTAAAAGCAAAGCAAAAATAGCTCTTTACAAGCAAGAAGAGATTCTTCATTGTGAAGTAGTGCTGGCATTTAGGAAATCAGTAAATAATTTCTTCCAGCTTTTCTTTCTTTTTCCACTGAGCTGTTTACATTCAGAGGTGTCACTGGAGAGATTGATTGATAAATGTGTAATGCTGTGCCCAATTCCAGATGAAAATACAAAGGGTATCTTACTTTTGGAAACCAAGTATATAAAGGCTGTCTCAGAAGACGTCGTTGGATGTTTGTAGGTGTTTTTAATGTATATGGTTTCTAAACCAAAGGATGTATCTGTAGTTACTCTCTTCAAACAATATTTGTGTCAGCCATCGTTTTGGAAACGTCTCCTATGATGTTTTTAAGCAGTGATTTTTGCAGGTTAGTTAGGTCTAGTTTAATTATGCACACTCTGTTTTATCTATTTTAAACTTCAATTTCGTTGAGTACTTTCTTGTGAATTACAAGAATAAATTAGCAATTGGTGCCCAGTGTAACTCTCTACAGCGATTTTCGCATTCCTGTATCATGTCTCCTTTTATTCGTTTTCCCTTCAAGCTCATCAGCTGGATTTTTTCAGTCTTTATAAAATGGAAATTTCACAGTGAAGTAACCTCCATCACCGTGCATTATTTTTATTTCACCGGTATTCCTTTCGAATGGGGATGGCCAGAACTGAGCACAACACTGCAGATGCAGGCGTGCCCTTGCTTTATGCAGCAGCGTTCTGTGTATTCCTTCTGTCCCGTTCCTTTTCAAACCGGCTGCATCCTCAACATTGTCCTTGAGGTGTGCATGCTGCTTGCCTCTGCACCCTATGGTTTGTGTTAGTTTTGGTCTTGGGCTTTTTTGAAGTAAGTCTGAACGAGATCATGAATCTCGGAGTGTTCTTCCCAAAACCTGCATTTAACTTGCTGGAAGCATGACTCTGTAGCTCTTATGACAGATTTGAGTACGTGGCTGGCTGGGACTCACCATTTAGGAAGTCATCCAAACATTCAATAAGCTTCTGGAGATCGGTGTGAAGAATGTCATCTCTTTCAGTGCCTAAGGTGATTATGCTGGAGGGTGAGAGGGCCTGAGCTTCAGAGGGGTTGCGTGCATCCCAACCCAAACACTGGCACTGCTGCACACAGGCCACGCCATTGCTGCATCTCCAAAGGGTTTCCACCCTGGCAGGAGCAGAGCTTTGGGACAGCACATCCTCGGGTGTTCCTGCAGTCCAGCAATCAGCTGCTGCCTTTTATACTTAAGTTTTGTAAGTTTTGCAGTTTCATGTTACTGCAGTAATTAAGCCCTGGCAGTCACAAATTACTAGATTGCTACAGTGAAGTCTAAATCCAGAAGAAGGGGATGCAGTCTCATTGCCAGCCACTAATGGAAATGAGTGATTTCTTTTGTTCTCATGGCTGACTGCCCAGGAGTATAGAGGAATCCAGGTAAAAACCACCCATTTGCCAACCTATTCTCAGTGGAGGATCCATGCATACTACTGTAATGGGCAGCATTATTTAAAAAAAAAAAAAAGGAGAAAAAAAGTAGGAAGGTAGAAAGAAATACAGAGGTAGTATTTCCTCAAAGAGCAGCTTTCTTCTTCCCAGCATTCTAGCATTAGTTCATGGTTTCCTGCCCTTGTCTTTTCCTGGTCCTCACCTCGGTCAACCCACTGAGCTGCATTTGGTATGGACACGGTATATAATTGTCAGCATGCTGAGCCATTTAAGTCCAGATTAAAAAGAGATACTTAAAGAGCCTGCAGATGCGGGTTGTAGATGCTGGGACACAGATTCTTATTGCAATATTGTGTTGGGTCCAGGAGGATATGACCTTTGGCTCTGCTCTGGTCTGGCACGACACAAGGAAAGAGAGGAAAGCGGTTGGACTGCAGCCAGTTTCACTGGAAGAGGGGGGAGGAGGGGATCTGTGCCATGTCAAGAGTAGCTGGGACCTACACAGGGAAAGTGTTCTGCCTACCTCAAAGTCAGCAGATGCCATGCGTGCGTGGCTATGGACAACTCAAGTAAGAGAGCTTTTGTTTTCCTCCTCAGTGGGCAAGAAGAAGGAATGATCACCTGCCAAATAGCTTTATGAATGTCTGGTGCCCCTAAGGCACTACCCTATTCTCATGCAAAGGTAGGCATCCTGTTTGAAGGGGAAGTCACATTGCCAGCAGCATCTGAACATATCTGCTGGTAGGTTGTAAAAATCTGATCTTTGAAATATCATTGTTGCTTTGCCCTTTCATTTTGTATTTTTCTGTCTTTTCTCTGAAGTTGCTACTTTAAGCCTAGATATTGTGGGCCAAATTCAGGTGATACAAGTCTATATTAGCTGTATTTGAGGAATTCAGCTGTGTCAAGTGTGCTTGCCTTTTCGGTATATGCAGCAGCAAATCCAGTGTCTCACTCTCACTGAGCTCAGTGATGCCCTTTTTGCCTTTGAGTGGAGGATCTGTTCCTGTGTAAGGTTACGATTTTAATTAAAAGCTGAAAACAGGAGGCAGCAGCCTTTGGAGGAAGGCTTTGTATGTGACTGGCTTAATGAGCGGCCAGCTGAGCTACGTAGTTAAGTTTCTAGGTAAAATAATGCCAGTCTGTAGACTTGCTTTGGAAATGTCTACAGAGGCAAACAGCTGAATTAGATGGTAAGTGGCTGTGGCAGGAGAGTGGCAGGTCTTCATCTCACACCGCATTGTGCTGCTCTGTCTGCAGCAAAGCAGCAAAGTGGGAAAGACAGAATGGAAGGCTTTGCAAGAGAGATACAGTTCTTTACACTCAATACTTACGTGTTGCCCTGGGGCTACAGCTAAGTAGTGCTGAGTAGTACTATTAAGCAATGTTAAATCCTCCTGCTTAGGAGGAGAATGGCTTGATTATTTACCTCTTAGCCTCTTCTTTTGGGGAGAGGAGCAGGGTGTGAGAGCCAGAAAAATATTGGTGTTTTTTAAACTATTTCTAATGCCTGTTTTCTTGGTGTCATCCAGAATATTTTCCTGATGGAGCTATGGAACAGATATGAAGCTGAAGCTGCTCTGTTTTGTTCATAGTTTTATTTTTGAGCTTGCTTTTATGGAAGTCTGTCTTAATGTAAGTCACAGTCTTGCCAATGGCAGCCTTGTTTGGAGAAATCTGGCATTCGAGGACACGTTCTTTTCTGTGTTGACGGAAAAGCTGGCTGTGACCAAAAGCAGACTGTCAGATACTGAGATGGGACACTGGTGACATGAGGAGTGTAGATCAGAAAGCTCAGCTATCTTCCTGGTAAGAAATGCTGATTCCAAAGGAAAGCTAATACTCCAGACTTTCTCTGTAATCCTTGTATTATTGAAAAGCATGCATTTTTGTTGAGAAAGGGATGGGACTGGAAAGGCAGTGAGAGCATTAGAAAATAACTGCTAGCATGGAAAAATGCGTTCAGACTACGTAGATGAGTTCAGCTGTTTTGCTGTGGCTGGGAGGAGACCACTGAGCAAACTGGTAACTGACTCACAGGAATATCTGTCTTAAATATAACATGCATCTTAAAACTGGGAAACTGGCAAATGTGTTAAGGAACTGGCCTTGCAGTACAGTGGCAGCACGTAGTCTCGCCATGCTGGAAGCTTCTCTTCAGATTGACCGTGTAACTTGCGCGTCTTAAAGCAGTATCTAAAAGCAGCATACCTCCATTTCTGGGTATGAAGCCAGAAAGGACAATTTGTATCACCTTGCCTGAGCCCTCGAAGACCTTCTACATTTCTGCATCAAACTAAATTTCAATTTTGATCCATCGCATTACTTTTATAGATGTATTTACAAAAGCATCTAACCTAGAATTAAAATGTCACGTTGTGGAAATTCATTACATTCTTCAGAGGTTAATTATTTTACTGTTTATAAAGGTTATGCCTTTTTTTTCCTCTAAGTCTGAAATTAACCCCATTTCAGTTTCTAGATAAATATTTTTTCTGCTAGATTTTAAGAGCCAAGCCTGCAAAATGCCTCCCTTTCAGTATTTCTATGCAGTGATCATTTCTGTTGTCTTTTAACCTCCCTTTCAATAAATTAAATAGATTGAGCACTTAGGTCTTGCACTACAGAGCATGAAAACAGCATTGACTCAAGGGGCCAGAGTCCCCATGCAGTCAATTTATGAGGTAGCCTCTAGAGTTGAGTCAAAAACATTTCCAACTCTTTGGATCAAAAACAA